TCCTTTTCGTCGCGACCGCTTCCAGAAGGACATCAAAGGCATCTCCATGCACTCAGCAGCCGCCGCACTGTTACATGACCTTCCTCTCCTAAGGCAAGACCACACAGTTGAAGCAGCCATGCTCTATGTTGACGGTTCTTTTGACCCCACCAGCAGCACGGGAGCTTGGGCCGTAGCCGTGCTTGCACTAGCAGAGGGTCAGTGGCGCTGGGCAGGTTTTCTAGCAGGCCGTTCCGGCCCGCGCACACATATGTCTAATGCCTTTGAGGCGGAGGTCTATGCGCAGCTGGTCGCACACCTTGTATGCGTTGCCAACCTTTGGAAGCAGGCCGTCATCTGTTATGATGCCACCTCCGCTGCGCAGGTTGCCTCGGCTCAGGCAGCGGGCAAAGACATTGGTGAGCTGCAACGAGCCGCGGCAGCCAGCAGATTGCATGCCCTTTTACAAGGCTGCGCACCAGGCCTCACACACACCAAGAGCCACGAAGGTAATCCAGGCAATGAGCTCGCTGACTCCCTTGCTACTTGGGCCCCGGGCCAGCCACCCAGCGATCTAGACGACCACATAGCAGATTTGATTCAGGAACGCATCATGGACTGGCTTTGGCTACTGCAGCCCGCCTTTGCCCCTGCCAGCTGGCCGACGCTCGATGCCTCCGGTACCACGAAGCTGGCACAAAGGCAGCAGGAGTATACCCTGCCTCTAGCGCCGGCCGCTTGGAGTCCGCCGCATACTGCTACAAAGACCAAGGCGGCCAGTATTTCCTGGAAGATGTGCACTTATAACACACTCTCTGCCCGGTCAGCACTGCAGCGGCACAGCCTGCAAACCTTCATGCGCAGCCAGAGCCTGGAAATCTTAGCTCTTCAGGAAACAAGAGAATCTCCTGACCCTGTTAGGATCGTCGACGGAATCTATCGATTCGCCAGCGCTGCACCGGCAGGTCAATGTGGCTGCCAGATTTGGGTTGATACTAGATGCCACCCGGGCAAATGGGACTTGCGTTCCTTTGCCATTGTGCACAGCCATCCAAGACTGCTGGCCATTACAGCCGTGTATGCCGGAGAGCGGGTCGCTCTGATCTCCGGACATGCACGCACGTCGGTCTCAACACAGGAAGAAATTCATGAGTGGTGGCAATTGCTGCACAATGTGCTCAGAGCCTTGCCAAGGGGGCACATCCCTGTTATCTGTGTCTGTGCCGATACCAATGCCCGGTGGCAGGGCACCACGGCCTGCAACTGCAACGCCTACCATATGGAGGAATTCCTCCAGCATCATGACTTGGCCTCCTCCGGCACTGTGGATCATCAAGGGAGGCCCATCACCACCTGGCGGTCAGCCAATGGTAAGCCAGCTTGTTTGGATTTTGTCATGTTCCCGCGTAGCTGGCAGCCCTCTGTCAGCAATCTGGGTACAGCCGACATCCTCGACGAGCATGCGGGCATCGACCACCAGCCCTTGCTGATACACATGAAGTTGTGCTTCGAAGAACATACTGTCCACAAAACTCAGCGTTTTGATGTGCATGCCATGCACACCGCAGAAGGCAAGCAGTGCATCCAAGAGATTTTCCGTGGGGCGCCACAGCCTAGCTGGGAAGTCGGCGTCGATGAGCACCTTGCCACCCTCAATGCCTATTTCCAGAGTGAGCTTGGCAAGCGCTTCAAGACGTCTCAAACCAAACCGCGCAATCCGGTCGTCTCCGCTACCACTTGGCAGTTGTTACAATGCAAGAGGCAAATGCGGAGAGCCCACCAAGGGCGGACGCCATCGCAGCGGTACTCCTCGCTGCGATCGGTTTTCCGAGCTTGGCGTGACCAGGGCAATCCCGTCAAAACTCGGACCCATGCTAGAGCCTTTCGCCAAGAGATGGTACACCGTATGGCCAAGGACACATGCTACTGCCTTACCATTCGCAGGCTCAGCAAGCTGGCTAAGCATAGCATCAGGCAGGATGAGGCGCAGTATACCCGACATGCGTTCCAAGAGGCCCACCAAGAAGGGCCTGTGCGCATGGCGCATCTGATCAGGGCCGTCTTGAAAACAGGTCGCCGATACCAGGCTCCCAGGTTGGCCATCACACTCCGACAGGAAGGCGAGCTCATCACTGACAGGGCGGAGGTCCTCCGTCGGATGGGGCAGCACTTCGCCAAGGCGGAGATGGCTGACTCCCTCCCTTTTGCAAGTCTCCGCGATCAGTCCGAGGGCCCCGATGAAAGCCACTTTGAAGCCAGCTCCATGCCTTCAGTCGGGGACCTGGCGCATGGATTTGCCTCCCTCAAACCAAGGAAGGCACCAGGCCTCTCGGGCTTGCCAGGCGATTTCTACCGGGCCTCGCCAAGCCTCGCTGCAGCCACGCACTATCCCTTAGTGTTGAAGATGGCTGCGAGAGGCCAGTCCCCGCTCTTATGGTCAGGCTCTCTGTCTGTCCCCTTGGCGAAACCAATGAAGTGCCCCCTCACGCCAGCGGGATACAGAGCCATCGCCTTGTTAGAAGCGGCGGCGAAAGCCACAGGTAAAGCCATGCGACACAGCCTACTGCAAGGTTTAGAAAATATCGTGCAGCCAGGCACTGCAGGGGCGCGCAGAGCAGTGCCGATGGAGGTTCCTGCGATGACAGGGCAGGCCTACCTGGACTTCTTGAAAAGCAGCGCCCAAACCGGAGCCCTTCTGTATGTGGATGGAGTTAGTGCTTTTTACTCCACTAATCGCCACATCCTTTGCCAAGGCAGTGAGGCGGACCGCATCCAATGGGTCCAGGGTTTGCCGATCGAAGACAGCATCAAGCAAGCCTACCGAGAGATCACCCTGGACAGGACGGCACTAGATAGGGCCGAGCTAGACCAGATCATTCAAAAGTTAGTCCAGGCCAACTTTGAGTGCACGTGGTTCACCACGCTGCCGGATGACCCACAAGTCCACCGCACACGGGCGGGCACTGTGCCAGGGGCTCCTTTGGCGGACTTGCTCTTTCAGCTTGCAATCGCGGCCAGTTACCAGTGCATGCGCGACTGCCTCCGTGCGGAAGGTCTGCTGGTCACTGTCCAGGGCACGGAGGCAGTCCTCCTCACGTGGCTGGACGATTTTGCAGTCCCAGTTGGAGCCTGCAAACCGAGCGACCTGCCACACCGTCTGTCGCGTACTGCCAGTATCACTGCCCAGGCCCTTAGCACCTCTGGCATTGCCATGAATTTTGCGCCTGGCAAATCCGAGGCAATTGTCATTGTGCAAGGCAGCGGCGCGCAGAAGGTTCGTACCGAATTGTTTGTTGCGGGACAAGGTACGATACCTGTTGACATGCCCAATAGCTCACAGGCTCACAGCTTGTATGTACCGAGCATTATGTCCACCTTGGCACAAAACGCACCCCTGAGTGCTCAGCGGTCCCAGACATACAACGCCGACAAGCGGCAGCTAATGTCGTCTGTACCAAAGTATGCACTCGGCTTTTGCGCAACCCCGTGCTCACCAGAGCGGAGAAATGCCACTACTACTTCTCGCTGGTGCTGAACCGCTTTTTGCATGGACTAGCCACTTGGCCCATGTCAACACGCAAAGAGCGAGAATGCTACCGTGCAGCCTACCTCGGTTTCTTGCGCAGGGCTGTCAAGCCCTTGCATGGCTACCATTGCTGGCGCATGACGGACCAACATGTCTGCATAGCGATTGGAGCCTTGCTGCCGGAAGAGGCAATGCATGTGGGCCGCATTCGCATCCTTTCGCAGATCGCTGCGCATGGGACAGCTTTCCTGGGTGAGCTTTTGGCAGCGTCACAGTCCTGGCTGCACCAAGCCCAAATAGCTGTTCACTGGGCAGTGCAGCTGGTGCCCAATGTGCGTTTGTCAAAGTGGTTGCAACAGACCCCGCAGGGCCGCGATCTTCTGTCCTGGCCCCTGGACGCAGCAGGCACCCGCAGTTTTCTGAAACAGGTCCGCACCAAAGCAGTCCAATCTAGAGCCCATCTCGAGCCTTTGATAGCGACTCGGGCAAAGGCTCTTCACAAGGCAGAGGCACAGGGCATGCTCATCGTCAAGCTCCTTACAGGAGCAGCGACGCACCGATGCGCTCAGTGTGGGCAACTCTGCTCTACGCCGTCGGCCTTGGCAGCCCACTGCGAAAAGGTCCACGGACAGCGTGCGCCCTGTCGTAGTGCCATCGGGACATCCTGCCAGGCCTGTTCCCAGGAATTCTGGTCGACATCTCGATTGCGTGAACACTTGCGTCGAGCGCGGTGTTGCAGTGCTACATATGTCGGCGCAGACCTCGGCCCCCAGCCGGACGAGGAGCTGGGTACCAAACAATGCCCAGTACAGCCCTTTCATGGTCCTCGCCCATTCTGGGCAACGCTCCGCCCTGCGCCAGAGCAGGCTAATACCTCGACTCCCTCATTCGCCGCAGGTTCCCTGATGCAGATGTTAACAACGGTCCACGAAGTGGCGGATCTTCCATCGCTCTTTAAGCGGTGGTGGCAGGTTACTGATAGCGATGAGGTTGAGGCGACCCGGTCCCAGGTGATTTCGCTCCCTAGGGATTCGATGTCCCCGGCGTGCAAATTTGCCGCCGAGTGGATACAATTTTGCTCCGCGACCACGTGGGTGTCGCCCTTTTCGGCAGAGGGACTAACTGCAGTACAGAGCTCTGATAAGTTGATGATTGCTGAAGACAGCGTCATCCAGGAGCTACGCAGTTCAGCCACCGATGCCCTACTGTTTGCATGAGAGAATGCAAGGCGCGTCGACAGACTCGAGCCAATCCCGAAAAAAAACCCCTAAACCCCATTCTGTAGACCTAGATTGCTGGCGCACTTTGGCTGGTGGCCTCTCTCGTAAGGTCTCAAGAACAGGAACCTGAACTTAACACTAAAGCCTACCTTAACCGACCACCACCTACCTTTTTGTAGGGTGGCTACAGACTTTTATATTATATTTCGCTTTAGGATAAGTGCTGGCTGAAGGTGAACCTTCATCATTCCGGCTAATTAATGTGGTCGCGCGGCAAGATCCTGGAAGGCCAGCAGTGCCGATCCTGGAATGAGGCATCTAAAGCAGGGGCCTTAGTTGTTAGAATAGGGTCTTGTGGAGAAATATATCAGAAGTATAATAAGGAACCCCCGAACAAGTATGGGCAATTATTTTGGCTAACATAGTAGAAGGGCTACGACAAGGGCTTTATTTAAGGTTCACAGATTCGGCTTTCAGTGGTTCTGTAAGAGGCACCGTACGGGTTTAGGGTTCAAGGTTCAAGTTAGGTTGAGACATATCGGATTTATAGGGAATGACAAGGGATAACGCATAACGGAGGCAGAACTCGAGAGCCACACACGCACACATATGTGAATACATATGTATGTGTATATATATATATATATATATATATATATGCGGTCACCTCTCTCTCTCTCTCTTTCTCTCTCTCTCTCTCTCTCTCTCTCTCTCTCTCCCTGTGCGTGAATACATAGCATACTGCACATCCGGGAACAAGCAACCCTCTCGCAAACCCCGAAGCTGGGCCGATATCCCCAACGCATCATTGATCATCCTAAACCCTAAACCTCCTTAAAGTGTCCTTTCCTGCACAACGCAGGTGAAGCAAGCTAGCAACTGGTGCAAGAACCATCTGCATTCCGGCTAGAGACCAGTAGGGACCATCACCTTGCTTGATCTGCTGCGTCTGCTCCAGCACTCGGAAACCTGGACTCAAAGTTCGGGGTTCAGGGTTTAGGGGTTTATGGCTTTAGGGTTTAAAGGTTTAGGGTATTTTTTGCCTAAACCTTTAAACCCTAAACCCATAAACCCGGGTTTAGGGTCTTCGGGATTTGTGTCTTGCTTAAGGTTTTAGGGTGCCTAGGGTCGAAGGCTTTGGGGCTCATGGTTGAGGGTTTACCCTAAGGGTCCATGTACTCATATAGTATATACATTGGCCTTAAAGTGCTCCCTATCTAGGTACATTGGGCCCAAAGTATATGCTATATGGGTACATGGACCCTTAGGGTTTAAGGGTTTATAGGGCCTTAAGTTGTGGAGTGTACCCAGACTCTCGAAAGCACTTCAGGTCACCTGTTGGTCGTAGGCCTCATGATTGTCGAGCCCCAAGCTTGAATTTCAAAACTTCAATCCCCTGGACATATGAAACTTTCAATCCCGAAATCGGAAAAACACCATATCCCCACTCAACATCAACCTCCCGAGCACCTAATCCTAGAGTCCAAACTCCAGGCCTAGAGATCCTCAAGAGGGTGAACCCCAGAGGCCTTTGGTGCATTTCTGAGCCCAACATTCACAAAGCTCTGAACCCCAAAACACCGTAACCTGCATACTTGGCAGTTCCCATAAATAAAGGGACCCCAATATACTAACCTGAACAGTTGGATCCTTTTTCTAAGGACCCCGAGATGCACCCCTTCTTTTCGGAAACTCCAAACCCTAAACTTAAACCCTTTAAAGTACCCTTATGGTAACCCTTTAAAGGAACCCTTAAAGTACCCATACTTTTTGGAAACTCTCATTTGGCTGCCTGTCGTCTCGGCCCACTCCTTCATGGCAGACCCAGCAGTCTTCGGAATGTGGAGTTGCCTTGCAAGAGGCCGTTTTCAAAATGTGGGGCACCGCTTTCAGGGGCCCTATTGATCGGGATGCCATTCACTTGGGATATATACATGTCTACAAACAAATAACTGAGTATATAAATATATATATATATATATATACACACATACACACATACATGAATCTCATGTAGATTATATCCGAACCCTTACTTACGGACACAGCCGACTGCAGCATCCGTTGTCATTGGCAGGCCCCATCATCATCACGACTGGTATCACTGTGGTCATCGCGTGCCTGATTCCGAGACGCTGCATTGACAGCGCTAAAACCTCGTACAATCTGCTGTCATGTAGTTCCGGTCTCGTAAATCGCATCGTCCACATAACCCCTCTTGGAAAACCCGTACTGAGGCCGATAACATACCATCAAATCCTCGAGCCAGCACGCACAACCGCGTGTGGACGCTGGAGCTTCCGGCAGCGCTCGATGGCTCGCCTCAGCGCGACAAGCAGCATGCCGAGGACCAGCCTAATATGGGGAATAGAGATATTAGAGCCTATTACACCAAAGTTACTTGCAATAAGGAACCCCCCAAAAAAGCAAAGGGGCCTCTGGGATTATACTAAAACAATAACAAGGAACCCCCCCCAAAATGGTATATAGGTAAGGTAATTATGTAGGCCCCTATAGTACGGTAGCGCAGCCTGCGAAATCTAGGTGACATACTGTGCTCGTCTAGTGCACGTGTAATCAAGCCAAAACGTGGCTGAAACAACACATGTTCTTTAGTATGTTTTTTAGAGTTTCTGGTTTAAGGTTTTCGCACCTGAAAGAAAACTGTGTCATTTCTGCCCCATAGGCGGTCTAGATAGTCTAGAAGTCTAGAGGTGAGCTTTATCATCCCGGGCACACAGTGCCATCGAAAGCCGTGCGAATCCTCCTTGGCTGCGCTGCAGGACATGATGCCAAGCTTTGCATCGTTTAACAGGAAATTCAAGCCGTCAAGTATACATCCGAAACCGTCGACAATCCCAACATTGAATGCACTTCTGGGCTTCTCGCCATGCTTTCGAGCAGTATTCCATACTTGATGGGTAGTTAAGGAGTACAAGGCTCTGGTAGCAAGGAAACCAAGTCTCCCCCACTTGCTGTGTAAGCGATGTCGGTCCCACCAGAACCTGCCCATCAACCAAGTACTGGGCTGTTCTTCCTCTCCGGGTTGGGCTTCTGGTTTTCAGGGTTCGAGGGCGGCTTAAAGTTTTGGGGCTCTCAGAAACTAAGTGAACCCCGAGACTGGCCCGTCCTCTCTTTATCAAGTAGCTTGTCTTTCAGAAGGCACTTTATGTCATATACCACAATGCCACTCCTGAAGGCCAGCTACCGATGTACAGCAACACATTACATACGCAAGAGGGCTCTCAGTCCCAGGACCAGGTGCATCCTAAATCTTGCAAACACTAAACCTGCAGCCCTCTCGATCACCCATATAGGTGCCTAAAATTATAGTTAGGATAGAGTTCGGGGGCATATCCTCCTATGACTTTAAAACCGTAACCTCAGGATAGAATCGGATAGAGTTGGGATCTTACTACAGTTGAAGCATGTCAGGAATCAGCTTTAAAACTATACTCAAACTTACATATTAACCGGTTCTACCCCCTACTAGTACAGTCCCACAGAAATCCCTCAAACCCTAAACCCTAAACCCAAAACCAAAAACCCAAAGCTCTAAACCCAAAGCCCTAAACCCAAAACCAAACGCCCAAAGCCATAAACCCAAAACCCTAAAGCCTAAACACAAAACCAACAACCCTAAACCCAAAACCCCGAGGCACATGAGGTCTCGGCGCAGAAGAAGCAGCTCCTGGCGACTTGGGCAGCGTCTGAGCAGGTCGCCTCACAGGAGCTCTGGTCATGTAATGTAGGAACCTTAAGAGGTCTATCAGGGCTACTATAATAAGGATAAGATGGGTTACTATAAGGGATCTATAAGGGCTACTACAAGGGGTCTATCAGAGTTACTATAATAAGGATAAAATGGGTTACTATAAGGGGTCTATAAGGGTTACAAAAAGGGTTACTGTAAGGCTGTAAGGGATCTATAAGGGCTACTACAAGGGGTCTATCAGAGTTACTATAATAAGGATAAAATGGGTTACTATAAGGGATCTATCAAGGTTACTATAAGGGATCTATAAGGGCTACTACAAGGGGTCTATCAGGGCTACTATAAGGGATCTATAAGGGTTGCTAAAAGGGGTCTATAAGGGTTACTATAAGGGGTCTATACGGGTACTATAATAAGTATGTAGGAACCTGGTTAGGAAACCTTTGGCCTTTATTAGGCCTCCTTATATGAATCCTATTTTGGGGGGCAGGGTTTCTTAATCCGGTTCCTACATTAGGGGCCTTAACTTTAGAATAGGGGCCTTAAAAATTAGAAAAGGGTTCCTTTTTACAGGTGTCTATAGGGGCCACAATAAGGGATAATCAGGGTACAAAAATGTAGGGGGCTTTATAAAAACCCTAAACCCTAAACCCTAAATTGAATAGGGTTTTGCACCCTTTCAAGGCGGGTTCTATGGTGTCGGGCCCGTAGTAGAGTTATAATATGGAGCCCTACCCTAGGGTTTAGGGGTTTAGGGTTTGGGGGCCCTACCCTAGGGATCTAAGGACTCATACATTAAGGCTTTTGGTCCCAAAGACCATACTATACAAGGCCTTTGGGCTACTTTGATCCCTAGGGCTAAGGAAAAATATTGATTATTTAGGCTTCTGTATTAGCGGGCTCGAGGGCGCAGGAGTTCCGGGGTGTGGGTTTAGGGGTTTGGGGGTTCAGGCTTAATTTGGGCTAAGATAGGAGTTTGGGGTTGAGGCTCTGACTGCGAAGTTCCTCAGATTCCACCGGGGCAAGCAGCACAGCTGCAATTCCACGGAGCTTTACATGGTTTGTGTGTAGGGCTTTGGGTTGAGATTCCGGTGCTTAAGCAGCAAAAAACATAACTACTAGACTAGGTAAAGCACATCCTACATGATCCCGACTAGAAACACTCTGAGAGCCTAATTCTGATTTGAAGCATGTCCCTTAAACCCCTTTTAATTTTAAAAGCCCTGAAGTTAGCTAAACCCCAGATCCTAAACCCTAATAAACCCGTTGAAAACCACGTCTGGAACTAACTAAACCTGACCCTTTGAAAACCCTACTTAAAGGATCATGGGACTTAGTAAGTACTGTAGGTTATAATTGGGGTTATAAGTCCCCTAAGTGGGGTTACCCTAACTACAACCTACTTATAACCTTACTTACTAAGTCCCATGATCCCCTAAGTAGCATTTCAGAGACTCTGACAAGCGCCGAAGCCCCGAGCTTGGAAACTCCCAGCGCCGATGCCTCCCAGCAGAGCCAGTTCCCCGGCTGCATCCGCCAAGTCCCGGGCACCCTTTGCAAGGTAGGGGCTTAAGGAGGAGGGGAGTTAGGGGTTCAAGGGGGGGTTTAGAGGATTTAGGGTTTCGTTCAATATTCGTAGAAACAGTACATCAATCCTCTTAAAACTCTGTGAGCCCTGGCCTAGACCTGGGACACTTCGAATGTGGGTATCTGCGGCTTTGTTTGGGACGCGTCGTGCCGCGATTATATTTGTTGCCTTAAAACGTGTAGGCTTATAGTTATAGGTTTTTAGGGCTTGGGGTTTTCTAACGATATAGGTCTTAAAGTCATGAAAAATGGCCTTAAGACTTCCAAAGTTCCCTCTCTCTCTCTCTCTCTCTCTCTCTCTCTCTGTCTCTCTCTCTCTCTCTCTCTCTCTCTCTCTCTCTCTCTCTCTCTCTCTCTCTCTCGTTGCCTCCCCCCATCTCTGTGTAAACACGGTATATGAACCTGCCAATAGTTGTTATCCATTCTAGATTTAGAACTGTAGGGTGCTTCGGGTCGTAGAAGATACTGGCAAACAGGTTCATGACCTTTTGGCAGTGCGACCACACATTGTTTTGAACCCTGCCCCACATGTCCCCAGGCTCTGATTACCCCATGGTCGCTCCGACGAGGGCCCCAAACGATGTTGTGTCATGATTTGGCCAGCGGCGAACCTGTCACTCTTGGGAAATCTTCCCAGCTCCGAAGCGATTCTCTCTGTTTCAGCTGATGTTGAGGTGCAGAGCTTTTGCGCACCCGCCGAAGCTATGTGCAGGTTTTGATCTAGAATCTAGATAGCAATAATGAGGGTGCCCGCGATGAGGTGCGCAAGATGGCTACTGGGAGAGTCGGGGGGACAGCGTTAGTAGCTGTTCAAGAGGTTTATACGTAAGAGAACCTCCATGAAGGTCCCCTTCCAAGGCACTTATAGCTCTACTTACTATCTACTTACTAAGTCCCCCGACCCTCCCATGAAGCACGGGTTCCAGTTCAAGAAAACTTTCTGTACTGAGCTTACATGCTCTAGTGAAATACAGTATAATATGATATAGTATAGTGTAATGTATGATCTAATGTGTATATAATAGAATATAGTAGCTTTTTCTGGCAATCTCGGAGAAATTGCGAAGCCCAGACCTCGAACATGAGGCGCTTATTTCGAAGTCTTCCTCTAGCCCGCAACCTCCCAAAATGGTAGGCTGATGCTGCTGATTGCTGATTATAGGGCATGGCCAACGATGGCTTTCTCGAATCCACAAGAAAGGTCTAAGCCCAAATTGCTTAGGCCCAATCCTAGAACCGTAAGCTCTGAACCTCAAGCTCCAAACGACGTGAAAACATCTATCCGCGAGGCCTTTCTCAAGGAGACGGTCAAGGGGGACCTGAACCGGCACTGGCTTTGGGGTTTAAGGTGGGCCCCAAATGGAGAGCTCTGATTCAACAAAGAACTATATACCGTAGAATACATGTACCTTACATGCAGGATTTACATAGCGCATCATACGACAGATCGAGGAACACACTCTTCAAGAAGATGATGTAACATGATTCCACCTAAGTTCCTGAACAAGAACCCAGCTCCGCCAGTTGTCTGCCCCTGCCAGTTACAGGATATCCCGAACTAGGTTCAGCATAATCCCGTCGGAGCGCTAGTCCCGAATCTGAAACTTAAGATCCCCAATCCACAATTCTCCTAAACGTAACGACACCTTGTGCCGAAACCTCATACATAAACCTCTAACCTGAAACGGAACTCCGAAGGGTGAAGGCCATGGGCAAGCTGTCACCCTCACGCGGCTCATCTTGCCGATTCGACAGCACTCTGGCCCACCAGGGGACCTCAGGAAGCTTTCTGCCACAAAAGCGGCCTTATATACTTCTACTCAACACAAACGGAAACACCAGGTTGCTACCCAAGTGGAGCAGTTCCAAGCTTTGCCGCAAATCCCAAACAATCACCTTATCCCAAGCTTTACAGCAGAACACCCGAGCCCAGTTGCCCATATAGTGTTCCTTCAACTCTCAACAGCTCTCTAGTGGCCATAGCCGCCTAACGTACCACACAGGTTACTGGGCCATTCGGCTAGTATACCACTGCCGCTCGAAACAGAACAAGCACTCCACCGGAAGGATGACATGAATCGGATCGTCCGGATGGGGGTTACGGCTCAGAGTATGGACTCTCCACACTTGCACTTTTCCGGCGAGGCTGCTCGTGACCCAACCCGCAACCCACATCCAAGATGAGGGCTTCCAGCTTTCGGTTCGGGGTTCAGGGTGTCGGGTCGAGCCTACTATATATAGGGGCCTTAATATTCAGAATAGGGTTTTGGAGGTATAATGATATAAGGAGCCGCCAAAAATATTATAGGTAATTACGTAAGCCCCTATATTACATACCTTGGAAGATCTTTCCTGCCGGCTGAGCAGCCGGAGCAAAGGATGTGTTCGTGGGAAAGCGGCTTCCCGCCAAGTCGACAAGCCTAGGGCAGCGGCTTTAGCGCTTTGGTTCCTTATCATAAATATGCCAAATATACCCCCAAACCCTATAATTTTAGGGCCCCTGTATTGGGGTTGCTTTAAGGCAAATTGGGATGACTACGCCTTGTAAGTACGCTAAAGTTACGACGTCCACTGACTCTTTAAAAATAGTAGTAGTGCTAATAGCAATAGTAGTAATGAGCTGACAGTAATAATATAGTTGTAGTAGTAACAATAAAAGTACTAATCGCGCTTGAAGGAGTCAGTGACATCAACTTCGATGCTGCTGCACCCGCCCCGAAGTGAGGCGCGTACAGTTGGCGAAGCTTCTCCTGGTGTTTTAGTTTTGATTAAGTCCGGTACCGGGTTCCTCTTGAGGTTCTACAATCAGCGTCGATACATAGGCACTCTAGACCATAGTGGCTTGGGCTTAGGGCTGATTGGGACTGCAGTGAGTAAGACGCCCGTACGAAAGCTCCACAAACAATACTCCAGACGATCGGAGACGGGGGGGTGTAGAGTCTTTGCAAGATAGGACATGGCTTCTGCTCGCAGACTCCACCATCCACAACTACACTTCCGGAAGGCAGGTCAGCAGCCTCAGCAACCAAAATCTCGTTCGATCAGTTTTAACCCTAAACCCTAAACCCCTACTGAAAGGGTCTCTTATAATACACCGGCCTTGGAATAGGATTTAAGGCGTCGGGTTCAGGGTTTAGGTGTCCTTTCCACAGGATCTTCGTCACAACGCCTTTATCAACCAAAGGTCCCCCCATTGGGGTTCCGGTTATGGGCCTGATTAAAAGGATCACTCGATGAAGGGGTGAAGGTTCTTATATGGCTTAACAACTCTTATTTAGTTGCTGCTGCCTTCAGCCGGCTCCACAGCCGAAAGTATGCCCTCCCTGCGAAATCCCAAACCCCCTGAACCCCGAACCCTAACCTAAACCCTAAACCCGTCTAAACCCTTTTTGCAGCTGGCTAAATCCTAAACATAATCTAAACCCTGAACACGAAATGCCTAAACCCTCATTCCTAAACGCTCAACCTGGAATCCTGAAAGCCCCGAGCCTTCCGCAAAAGACATCAAAGATCCGGGCTTACAGGTACAAAAGCATATCATCAATACCCTTCTGTTCTACATTGAAAATAGTACGAAATATTGCGGATCATAGTAAACAGCAGTATGATGTAGTAAATAGTAGTGATGAATCAGATTGCTAGGATGGCCCACCTCGAAGCTTCCTACATACTCCGATTATGGAGTTAGGTCCCCAATACCGGGATGAGGATGGTCTTCGGTGCCCCATTCCACGATATTTGTATATACGGAGCCTCCGACAAAACATCGAAACATCCGAAACCCTCTCTCTCTCTCTCTCTCTCTCTCTCTCTTCTTCCGCAGGGCTTGGAGGGCGTGTTAAGCCCCCCGGTCTCATAGGCCCCCCATGTGTTATGGGGCTTGTAGCTCTCTCTCTCTCTCTCTCTCTCTCTCTCTCTCTCTCTCTCTCTCTCTCTCTCTCTCACAGGCACTCGAAGCGAAAACCCTAATCCCCTAAACCCCTGAACCTCTCCTTCTCGCAGCACATGACCTTGGATTTGGAGATGCCAACCTCAATGCAAGCCCGAGTCCGACAGAAGGCTCGGAGGTTTATGGCTTAAGGCTACCTGGACCCTATAAAACCTAACTTTCGGAGGCTCTTCATTATGGGGATACGCTTGGGTTTGTAGGGTTTAGCGTTTAGGGCTTGTAGGATTCATGGTTAAGGGTTGTGAATGCTGTACTGTCAGGGTTCCTTTAAGGGCTCTTACAAAGTTTGCCAGAAAAGATGAAGGTTCAGAGTTGAGGGGTTGAGGGTTCGGGAATGAGGCGTTTCGGGGCTTTGAGGGCTTCAAAGGCTAGGGCTTACGGGTTTAGGATTCAAATCATCGTTTAGAGGTTTGTAGCGTGTAGGGTTACATAAGGTTTCCGGGTTTCAGGTTTGTATAGGGTTCAGAGCTTGGAATCGGATTTGCCTCCCCCCTAACGCTTCACCACAAATCTGTCAGGGTTTAGGGCCTCAGGATTTGGGGTCTATGGCTTTAGGTCCAAGGGGCCAAACCAGAGCACCTGAACATCAACTCTCAAAAAAACAACGGCTCTATAGAGAGATCTGCTTCGAATAACTATGTTTGCATGCTGAGAACTGGAACATACTGGAACTAAACCTCCTTCAGAAAGGCAAGTGTCGACAGAAGCGTCGCAAAACATCTCAAGGTCAGAGGAGCAGCACAACTGGCACAGGGAGCTGGTGAAAAGCTTGCGGTATCTGCTGTGTAAGGATAGACAATATCTAGCTGCCCCCCCAACCAACAGGCGCATCCGGGACAACATATCCAGCTTTGAAGTTTAGCTTGGAAGCCCCATTCGTGGTTGCTGCACGCCAGTGCAGCCTCTATGAATATTGTCATTGTAAAAACCAGCAGCGTTGTGGAAACGCTTAGTCACGTTCTGTGTTCGGCTTCGGCGTCGTCACCATAAGGATTATCGTTGGCAGTTTCGAGGGATATAGTGGCGAAGCTTTCCTCGGTTCATGGCTGCTTCTCGCCTTCATCAAAGATTACGCTTTAGGCTTGGTGGGGGTTTTAGGGGTTGAGGGGTTCAGGGCTTTTGGGTTACTGTGAAATACAAGCTCCAATCTCACGCCCAGAGAATTTCAACGCCTGGATTCCGGGATCGTGACTGGGGGTCTTAGCTGGGGCTTGACAGCTTCCCAGACCCCCAGGAGGATCCCAAAAGTAGATCCCTTATGGGGGTTCCTATAAAGTACCCTTAGTAGCATCGGGCCCCTGATTGGGTTCGGCTTGACTTAGACTGCAAACTTGTCAACCTGGCTGTAGGAGGGCCTCGGTGCCCCGAAACCCTAAATCCGAACCCGGCCTGCGCGAACTCGCTGTTGTTGAAACACGAGATACTCGGCATAAGAAAGGCTGCCGTCCGTAGAAATCGGGCACCTCGGCAATTCGTGGAGTGTTCTGTCGCCTGTGCAGCAGTAATGGTCGTCGTCGTCGTCACGGCAGCTGCCCTAGCCGGAGAAGTAGCAGTGCCGCGGTCACATCATCGAAAGGCGATTGCGCTCTTCGTTTGTGAAACTATGGGATGTCAGGAAGAACCTGATAATAGCCTGAACGCTCATCGATTGGGTTTGCACTTCGTAGCTTTTCAAGCTATGGCAGGATTGCCGGTAGAAGGCTGATGATTGTGCCGAGTGTTTTCAAAGCTGGGAGTGAAACACCGCAGCAGCGAGCCGTGAAACTGAGGGCTGAGACTTTGTCACTTGGACTTGCCAGGAATTAGGGCAGTTGAGGGTTTAGGATTTAGGGCTAGGGCTTAGGGCAGTTTAGGGTTTTTTTCCCTCCTACCTAGCAAGGACGAAGCCCGCATTGCAGGGTGTCTCAGTTAGGGTTCAGGGTTTGGGGTTTAGCCCGTGTTTTGGCTTTGTAGAAGGCATTTTCGTGTCTGCGCTATTCCATGCCGTATCTGTGACCGGACTGACTGATGCTGAGTCCTGCGTACATGCAGTACATGAAATGGTCGCGGGTGGTGCGTTTGAGACACTTAAAGTACGAGCTAAGTGCAGGGAATCCCAGCACTGCTCATCCCGAACCCATGAACCAGCTTTCTGGGCTTCACTACAAGGTCTTGGGATATTTTGGGGTTGTGGATTATATAATGAAGCACCCTCCCATCATATGCAGGGGTTATAACTTTACGAATGATCCTAGTATTCAGGCCGGGATCTTTCGTATCTACAATCTGTAGCATGGAGGCCGGGATGTCGTAAATAGGGGCTTTGAAGTAGAAGCCTACATAACTAGTAATCTTACTCCCTGATGTTACAGTCCCGACATACTTCATTGCAATAAGACCCTAGTATCAACTTCTAATCATGAGGCTCCCTTTATAAGCCCGAACCCTCAAACAAACCACATTTTCTATAGCCCTTAGTTCATGAAACCCTACTTAAAGGAACCCTTCTCTAATCATGGAGGCCCTTCTATAGTTCATATTGTGAAGCCTCGAACAAACCGATACCCTACGCCCTAAGCCCTTAAACCTCTAAGCCCTAAACCCTGACACCCAGAAGCCTCCTAAACCCTGAACGAAAGGACCCAATACCGAGCCCTCCTGGCCAGGTTGCCACTCGCAGTGCGCGTCAGCAGTGCCCTTGCAGGGGAGGAGGGTTTGCAGCTCCGGTTTCAGGATTAGGGCTTCGGGTGTATAAGGCTTGGGGTGTAGAGTTTCTCTTGCCTACGGCTTGGCTGGGAGGACACCCGCATGGCAGGACGTGGGATTAGGGCATGGGGTTGTAAGCTTAAGGTTCAGAGCTTCGGATTGTTGAAGCTAAGGGCTTGCCACCGGCATGCTTGTAGGCCGTCATGAGCTCAGTAGCTAGTGAGCATAAGTAACCCGGCTCGGGGGGAGGCTTACTTCGTCGTGGTCTTTTGCTTTTGCCAAAATGATAATGTTGTTCAGCTTCCAGCTTCAGAAGCTTCATATTCAGTGTCATCTTAAGAGTCGCCCCCTGATGCCACCGCAGATCTTGCCCTCCCTTTTCGCGAGGCTCATATTTAACCGATCGACCAGAAGGGCTTCTGTCTGCATTGTCGAACATGTGTCGGCCGGGTGCCCATGCCGGAGGTTTCCATGCGCCCGGCAACCGCGCGAATGCAAAACGACTACCTCATCAATCGCTGCACGGACTGAGCTCGACAATTCACCTCACTTGACCGATTCGAATTTCTCAGGGGGGACATCACAGGTTGCAGGGTTGGGAAAGGGCTTGAGGGCAAGTTTCGGGTTTAGGGTGGAGGTCGGCAACTTTCTGGAAGCGACCCGTGCCGTGAGCTTCATCTGTTGATCGGCTGTCTTAGTTGCGTACCAGCCTTTGCGTACCAGCTTTATGCCAAGCCCGACACCTTGAAGGCATTTCTTTCATAGGAGCAGGGCCAAGGGGGTGTGACCAACAACATGGACATCATCATCAACAACATCACCAACGTCCCCTACGTTTAAACATGAACACGATGTAGCATACCCATACGCATCGTCAACCCTACAATCCTATAACGGCATAGCCGACAAGGTCCTCTGCATCAACACATTCAGAACAGTCAAGGGATTGTCAGCGGCATCACTATCCTCATCGTTTCATTATCACCAACAACCAGGATGCTCAACATCGTTCCTATCATCAGCACCCTTTCACTGCCAGCCCATGAGAATATCTCTCCAAAAACTATGCGAGCCATGTGCTCGCTTACGTTTTACCAGCAATATGATTTCATTTTACCGCGTTTCGAATTTCCCAAAGCCGCTCACCATCACTCTGAGCTAGCAGTGCTTCGGCCTCCTTGTGCTGATTGAATGGGAATAATTCCCAGGTTGGTGGTGGTTGCGCCGGGGTCTGCGCGAGAAGGTGTGCTGTGAGATCACTTCCTGTCACGAACACTCAGGCTGTTCAGTTCTGTGACCTGTTGCCGTTCTGACACCAAGGCCTGTCCGTTCCTCTGAATCCATCACATCCGACGCAACATCCTTCGAACCATGAATGCTGAAGCCTACGCGAGGTAAACTCACAACTTCCGGGCAACCAAAACAAGCCTCGGCTGTGGGCAAGCTTCGCTACAGCTCTACTTGAACTCTGCGAGTGTGGGTGTGCTGACCGTGAATGCAGTTTCTATGATGTACCATCTTATCCACTGTTCGTACTCCCCTTTGATCGTTGCAGGACCCTTCACACGAGCCGTTGATAAGCCATCTCTGGCGCCAACGGTGACAGCATCGGGCACGAGTATGACAGCAGCCGCACCAGTACTGACAGCAGATACTACGCGTCATGCTAGCGAGTTTAGCCGGATGCCACCAGCATTTGGCATCAGAAACAGCTGTGCTGGCAGTTCATCTCTTTTCATAACAACACAGAAATCGAGACCTCGTCTCGCCTCCCCCAAGAAACCACTGGGTAGTGCAACAGTCCGTCTGTATCCTTGGGTAGTGTGGGACCGTGACCAAGAAAGCTCCAAGTCTAAACCCCCCCACAAAGCAGTTGGATCCATGATGGGAGCCCTAAGGCCCTAACTCAGAATTCTGGGAGGATCTAGAAAGTAGATCCCGTAATTTGGGGCCCTATACTACTAAGGGCACTTTATAGGAACCCCCATTAAGGGATCTACTTTTGGGATCCTCCCGGGGGTCTGGGAAGAAGAAGCACGGGATGCCGCAGAACGGTCCTAACGGCGGCTCCTCCAGTGCTAGTTGCATTTGAGCCAGGGTATCTGGTCGCTTCCATGGCTCCGGAGACCATGTCGACGACAGGCCCCAGCCGCTCGACTATTGCTCTGCGCTGTGACGGGAAGCTGGGCAAACTGCTTCTCAAACTCGAGAGCCTTTCTTTCTCAAAATTAAAATGAAGGGATTCGTAAGGTTGGAGTAGAGTTTATGGTGGTTTCTTGAAAGCTAACTACAGGTCCCCAGCCTATCTTTGCTTTCAGACTCTCTTTCTTTTTTGGCTACCCCCGTGCATAGGCTTGTTCCCACACTGCTTGGATCCAGATGGCGGGGGCCGAGAAGTCCCTATGGAATGGAAGAATGGTAGTAATTGTATACTTATATTTATACCCTACCCCATTCCTCCATTCCCTACTAACCAAAGGTAAGGCAAGGGTTCTGTCAGGCCAAGATAGCATTATCCTTGGTATTGGCCACGCTTCTGCCTGCTCTTTGCTACACCCTCAACCGTACTTCCTCTTTAACCTTGCGTTAAAGTCTGGATATGGGACCCGAAGCATGCAAGAGGTTACGGGTTGCCATGAAAAGTGTCTTGTATACTGCAGGACCTTCTTCGGACGTAGACCTTAGACTTGCCCTGAATACAGGTCGTGTTAAGCCATCGAACAAGCATCCATCAGTAGATATTGGCCGTGAGTATTCCGCAGAGCTGCACACCTCGCAAATCCTCTGATGTAAGATTACTTGGAGGTTCATGGGTAGTTCTAACTGGGGTTATTAGTAAGATAACTAGACTTATAACCCCTATTAGGGGACATATAACCCCTCTAAAAACTACCCATGAACCTCCAAGTAAGACCCTTGTACAAGAAAGGGTGATATGTCCACATACAGTTTAGCGGTGCTCGGCTCATCCAGGTTTTGAGATTAGCCTAAACCATGAAGCCGCGACCCTAAGCCTGGAATCAATACATCGTGCACCCGTATTCGTGTTCTAGCAGCTCTCTGATGTGCCTGGTGCAAGAAGGAAAAAGATTCTAAACAGCGAACCTCAACTCCTCGCGCGCGCAGAAATACGTTGCTTTAGCTTTGGGTGCCGGCGCTGTGTTGGAGACCATACCGAAAACGAGCGAGGTGTGAGGCTTTAGGTTTGAGGGTACAGGTTTATAGGAATCGTCCGGAAAAGGAAGCCGAAGTAACGTGCAAACCGCGGTAGAAGCAATAGTTGTCGGCGGACCATCTCTGATAGCCCTATCCTCTCCCGAGAACCTTCGCAACTCGATTAAGATGGGTATTGACGACGTCAGTTCAATGTGTGGGAGTTGGCTGAAGATAAGCAACACTTTGAAAACTACCAAGGTCTCCTCCTTCTGACTACCAACGTCTCCTGCTTCTGACTCACGGACTATATTCTTGACTAACCTTTACTGATGTTTACCGGTACCACATCCTAAACTTCTACTACCGACATAGAGCCCGAAATCCGACTCCGAGAAAAGAAGCGCACTCGCTGAACTTGACGAACCGCGCGACGCGGCGCACAGCCTTCTTACTCCTCAGAGCGGTTGGGTACTTCATTATTTCTAGGGCCTTGAGTTTTCAAAACCTTCATCCGAAATGGCCAAGCCTAGGGAACAACCGTTTGCAACGGCTGTCTGTCTGTATGTATGTACTTATTCGTTTCTGTTTGTCTGACAAGTGCGAATGTATGTCTGTATGCCTGTAAGCTTTAGTAAGTCTGTGTACATCTGTATGTATGCATGTGCGTATGCTTATGTGTGTAGAAAGCATAGGTGCGTATGCCTGTCCGTCTGGCTGTCTGTAGGTAGGCAGGCAGGCAGGAATGTGTGTGTGTGTGTGTGTGTCTGTGTTGGCACTCGTACATGTACATACCTAGCCGTGCATGCCGTTCCTGAGTATTTGCTTGAAACTCTTGAAGCTTTGGTATGCCGCAGGGGGGTGCTTAACGGCTTGAGGTCGACGGCAATGTCTTCTTTGCTACAGGACAAACTTCCAAACCTTTGTGGCAGACCAACCCTTCATGAACACCCAGTAGAACCCATTTTGACCTCATCATCGAACCTGTGTGACAAGGCTAGGACTGGGGAGCTCTAACCTTCGGGCTATCCTACGTGGGGTTTTCGCCAGAATCTCATTGCTGCTGTGCAGGTTGTCCAGGCTTAGCTTGTCGCGCATCGTGTGTAGCAGCTCAGCAGTAGCATCGCAATCAGTAGCCATTGCTGTTCTTTTTTCCTTCGCTTTCCTGTGCAGGCCCCGTTGAACTGCAGTATCATCGGCTCGAAACATGGGAGCAAGCAGAATAGTATGGTTGGGGACGGGGCTTCGGGGCTTCATCGAGACCTCTTGATCACATCTGTTGGTGTAGCTCTTGTTGGAGACGGGTCCTATTTGCACGGTTGCACCAATATTGCAAAAACTCGCCCGGGACCTTCAAAACCACGAGGCTCTGGGAAGCGAGCATCACGGTATCCTTCTTCGTCTTTTCGAAATCCTGCGCATGTCATAACCACGAATCCGCCTCAAGCCCGGGACATATAAGAAGGCTCCACAACACAACTAGGTTCCGGCAGCTTAAGACTTTAGGTGGGAATGGCTTCACTTGCGGACCGTGGAAATCATAACAGTCCTAAAGCTTCGTAAGGGACATAGCCCGAGGCAGGGCTCTATGAGTACCTCTCATAGCCTGAGCTGCCAGTGAGAACCACGAACCTGAAGCCCAATCGCAACATGCTGCGTCTCTCTATCTCGTGCGGGATCTAGTAGCAGTCAACGAAATCTGAAAATCACCATACAGAACTTCACGCAACAAGAACAACACGGCAAAGGCCCCAATGGAAATGCAAACCAACAAATGCAGCATCTGCGCTGCGAACCTGTGAAACCGTAACCTCTACCCTAACTCTGATTAAACCCCTGAAAATGACCCTGCAGGTCCCTCTCGAAGTTGAGGGCGGTGGCGTTGGGAAGTTCACGCCAGAAATCGAAATCCTGGCGTAGCAATCTCATGTATCTGGCAAATTGAAGCCTGAAGTACCGACAGCTGCACAAAGTCTGTATGGAGTTCATTGTGACGGTACTGTTCTTTAGAACAGTCGCGGGAATATGTGAGTAATTAGTACATAGAACGGTATAGGGGCCTGCCTCAAACAGAGTGGCAGGTATTGAACTTCATCCGCCAGCAGGCACCATTTTCACATGCATTCCCTTTCTAATGGGGGCCCTTAGGAGGGTCAGGGGGAGGGGGTAGGGGACGATACTCCCTTAAATAGGCCTCATTAAGCCCTCATTGTAGGTATTAAGGCCCCCTACCCCGCTCCCCCCTACTCCTTTAAGGGTCCCTATGATTCCACTCGCCAGCATCATCGCAATCACCTTCTAATCAGCAGCCTCGGGAGAACCACTACACATGACCGCTAAGGTGCCGCTCGTCCTCACTCCTTCACTATTGCAGTCTCCTTTATGGTCTCACTCTCTCTCTCTCTCTCTCTCCGTCTCTGTCTCTGTCTCTGTCTCTCTCTCTCTCTGCCGTTGCATCCAGAGGATCTAGCAGCGCCGGGCAACGCGTGAGGCTAAAGCCCTTCAGGCCCCTCACGAAAGCGAAATCAGCAAGCCGCTCTTCAAGCAGCAGGCAATGCCGATATGCCAGGCACACACCTCTGCCTTGACTTTCGCGGTTTGAAGTTGATTGCACATGCGTCTTTTAGACGAACTGACTGTTGCAGGGTCAGCTTCCACTGAAAGACGCACATAGAACGTCCGCAGCATCAGATCGGCCACCACCAGCCGAAGCACGCGCCGCAGATCACAACCGTTCAATGACACATGCACCCAGCAATCTCGCCGCCTCAACATGCTAAGGCACCACGTTCGAGGCTTGCCATATACTGTAACCGACTTTCTCAGCAACATCGTCGTCGTCAGTATCGACATCGCTCATCGCCACCAGCAGCACCGGTATCATCAACAACATGACCATGCTGATCCTGATCCTGATCCTCATGATCCTCATCAGCATCACAAGCCCGAATGACTCTTCAGTTATATAGGCAGGCCCGAAAACAAAAAGGTCACAAGGGTGCTGCCAAACACTCACCCCCTTGTCAAACCTACCTCGCAGATGTTTGCCCGTTCGAGTCGCCTTGCTCGTACCGATGCCGATGAAGAAGACGGAGATGGGGTACTCCTCGGTTCCGGCGCTCACACTCGGACAATCCGAGGCATGTGGTTTGAAGTCTGCTGAGTGAGACTGAACTACTCCTCGGTTTGGGGTGCAGGGGTAGGCTTTCGGCACTCACAGGATTTAGGGTTTAGGCTCAACGTTTCGAGTGTAGGGGTTTAGGGTCTGAGGTTGTAGGCGTAATTGGGGGTGGGGATTCAAACATTTTGCCCATCTACAGCCAAGGTTTACGACTCCTTGGCTCAAGGACTTTGCCAAGTCCTACATGTGAAAGCCCTCCATGTCTGAATGACCCTCTACCATAAATCTCCAAACGTGACACCCCGCTGTAAATTTTTCATCCCGATACCTTGAACCACGATTAACCCCACAAACCCTAAAGTCAAAGCCCAGAAACCCCATCCCAAAATCTTACGGAGACCATTGCAAGTGGACGTATCAAACCCTTTGAGCCCTATCGCAAAAACTTGTACACACACCCCAGAGGGCCCGGACCTGCATCTTCCTGGCACCGGGTGGGGAGCCGTTTTGTCTTGGGTGTTCTGCTTTATTTGAACCCGCTCTTGCTCTGCCTGGGTAGGTGTCAGAAGGCCAGTTTGGCTGCGAGGTGGTTCGGGAGGAAGGGCATGCGCTAAGGATTTAGGGCTTAAGCTCTCAGGTTTCGCGTGAACCTAATCCTTTCAGTCGACTTCAAGATCTCGAACTCGAACGGCTGTGTCCGGAAGAAAGGGGGCCGGGGGGGTGAATAGCAAATGGAGGTCCCTTCGATCCTGCAAACACTAACTCCTGCAGACCCTAGAAAACAGTGTAAACTGTAAACTGTTATCAGAACCTT